AAAATTGTTGAAATGACAATTTTAAGTAAGGGATTTATACAAAATTGGTCAGCGCACCAAACACGGGTTTTGGAAGCCCTGGACTGTAGACTCCAGATGGTCAGGTTCGGTTTCCTCTTTGATTTGGGCCCCAAGGAAAAGGCGGAGACAGTACTGGCACGCCAAGAGGCAGATGAAAAAGCCTAAACGTGCTCCAAAAGGTGGATTGAAGCGGAAAAGATCCACTATGGACCAGGGTGTGTGGGATCAGCCTCTTGGCAAAGCACGGCGCACGATCACGATCAAGGACAAGCTCTTGGTTTTGGATTATCGTGACCAACTGTTGAAAGAAAGGAGGGCAGCTAACATGGCCAGCATTCAGCCAGTGGACTTGACCAAGTCGAAAGCAGACAGGATGGCTGATAGAGAAGCCAAGAAGAAGGCAAAAGACACTCTCAAGAAGGTGGTTGAAAAGGAATGCCAGGCGAAGTTTCCTCACATTGTGGGACAAGCCAGAGTGTCACGATGGCACAAGACTTGTGAGGTGGAGCACTGGCGTGACCTCCCAGATGCCATTTCCAGCCGTGAGACCACAACTTCGAATCAATGGAGGCTCAAAGTAGGTGCTCCTGCGAAGGGCCGTAGAGAGGGAGGAGGGGTTTCACTGGAGCTGCAGAAAGAGCTTGACGTTCTTCTCATGGAGATGACTGCTGGTGCAAGTGAGGTCTCAGAGAGAAAGGAAATCGTGACTACGGAGCAGGTTGCCACTTGGCCTCATTCAGCTCACATGTCAATGACTACTGTACTGTACTGAAAACATGTACTGTACCAGTACTGCGCACTATCAACTCCAAACCCATGGAGCGGTGCCTAACATAGCACAGCCTAGAAATTGTGCTGTGTCTCCTGGTGTTCAGCTGACTATTCAAGGGCTTGTTCGAGATTGGAACCAGAACATCGACAAAATGGCCACGTCAGTCAAGGAAGCGAATGACCAACTCCTGGAAAACATGAACGCGGGAAAGCTTGACACTGAAGCAGTGGTCAGAGCTTGGTTGCCGGTGCCAGCAGCCTTGCCGCTGCCGAGTTCAGCATGGGCCAGTTGGTTCTTGAAAGAGTGGGGCTGGTCGTTCCTCTCAAGATCCTCAGACACACAAACTTGGCTTCCTTGGGATCATGCAGATATGCAAGCCTCCCGTGACAGGCTGCGGACCCTGATTCACGAGAGACATGTCCACCCAGCGCTTGGCTTGAACTTTGACCAGCTTTGGCGATCCTGCTACCAGTTTGGAGGTACCTTACTCGGAGCAACGCTGGACAAAGAGCGCACCGTAGCAAAGCGCCCAAGAAGGTTGACAAGAAGCTGCGCACAGTGAAGGGAGCTAGAAAAGGCATCACAGCCCCTTACATGCGTTACTGTATGTTTGTCCAGTTTCATACTGTACAGATTTATTTTCATCGCTGGGCATGAAATGTCCCACCATGGCACACAATGCTTCCCCAATCTGTTTAGCACCAAAGGCCTAACCTGTCCCCAACGGGTTTGTGTTCATTTCCCTCACGCATTGGTTGGGGTAAAACTTACTTTGGCCTTCATCTAAGGTGATGACCTCGATATGGTCAGATGGCCAGGCAGGCCCATTGGCCTTTTGTGTGGCTGAAGGTCGCATGACCCAGGAAGAGATGGTTGCTTTTAACACTGCACACGTTGGTGAAGCCTTGGTCCTGAGTTCTGGTTCAGGAACACATTTCACAACTGCTGATGTTGTCCTGTACATCTACGAGCAACTCTACTCCGTCGCTCTGGCCAAACAAAGAGACAGGCAGGGCTATGTGAGCATTCCAATTCGTTGATCTTTGTTGGGTCAACTGGGTTGTTTTGTATTATGGATTATGGAATGGGATTATGAGTCAATAATGAGTCCTTGCTTGCCCTCCGGCCATGTTAGTCAGGGGCTTCCCTTTGGATTGTCTGAAGGTACCAGCTGGATCCAGCAGCTCCAGAAGCTCGCGCTCACTTCCTGTGCGATGCCTGGACTGGGTTTTTCTCAAACATTCACGGAGAGCAGATCAGGCGGCAGCACTTCTATGACCTGCGCAACATATTGCCACCGATCAAGGCACCCGGTGGATGGTCATCACATGGGCAACCATGTGACCAAGTCCATTCGATGTTCCGGAATCGCATCAGGACTCTTGATATGAGCTCTCTTGGGTTTTGTGGCGATCTGCGAAACAGACCACGAGCCTAGTTGGCAACCAAAGAGTCATGTGCCATGCTCATGCTGGTATCCCGAAGGCTTTCCATGGTGTAAGTTCATCATTTTGAGGTTTTGCTAACATATCCCCTGCGGTATCCCGACCAATGCCGTGTATCCTGATTTCACGAGCAGCTATCTCAGGATTTGAATCTCTTGCATTGAGGGCATCTGGCCAGGTTGCAGTGGAAGTGAAATCTCACAAAGAGGTCTTGGAGTTGACATTGCAGGCATGGCAAAGCCTTCAGCGGTCTGTGTTCTCTGCAGCCTGGATCAGTTGTGGCTATGTCGATGATGCCCACATGGACTTACATGCTCCGGGTAGTGCTCGCAGGGTCATTGAAGAAGCGCAAACATCCTTGAGTGATCTTTTCTCCCCCTATGGGAAGTGCTGGTCACCACAACGGTGTATGTGCTATGAATGGCAGATTCAGGACTCAGTGCCCAAAAAATTGTTCAATTCACTGCTAACATATCCCTGTGCCATTCTACTACTGAGATCTACTGAGTACTGCAACACATCATCCTTAGCAACACTAATTAATCAAGCCCTAGTACTGTATATATTGAAACCTGCGGAGTTACAACTGGAGTGTAACTGCCAGGATGACAGCTCTGAGTGGGCAGCTTTGCCATATGAGATAGCATCGGCCTTTGTGAGAACGCTCGCAATCCACATGCATCAGCTACAGGAGGCGAGGGAGGCCTACAACCAGTTGCTTGCAAATGATGCAAGTGAGACAGCTGCCAGCACCATCAAGGCCAAAGGCGTGTATGAGAATCTGAAGAACTACTCAAGATTTGTGGTGATGAATGCCAGGACGGGGCACTTGGCCACACAGGACTGGGTGGCCAGGAATGTGACTCGCTTGCCAGATGGAACTCCTACCTGGAAGAACAAGTCGGCCAAGAAGTCATCTCCTTGGGCAATGATCTTTACCTTCAAGACTCAAGGAAAGGAGGCGGAATTGTTCCTGAATTTGGCTGTGGCTGCGCCTCAGCGTAGGGTGAGGTGCTGGGATCTACGTGGTGGGAATGAACGCTGCAAAATCGCCTCCATGCTGGTTGGCTATGAGCACCTTTTGAATGACTTTGAGCCAGATGATGAAGCTCAAGCGTCAGATGCCGAGTCGGAAGCCACTGCAATCGGCGATGAAGCGGGACTTCCAGGACTGGTGTTGGTCCAGTGTTTCCTGGTGCCAGGTTAGTGATAAGAATGGATTGTGTTGGTTGTGGTGTTCAAAGACCTCATGTCCACTACAGTAGTTAAAACAGTATTGAACATGCTGCGGCTTAACATGTCCAGTGTTGCCCCAGGACAAGAATTGGCTATGATGGAGGTTGAGATGCCTGATCCTGCAGCAGCCACTGCTGCTGGCGCGGAAAGAGAACCAGAGCCTTTGATGGACCGCTTTGAGATGTTGGAAGCCGGTGTGAAAGAGAAGAAGCCTGAGCCTTTGCGTGATGTGGGGGGAGATGATCGAGATGTTGCTAACATTGACCGTGATGAGTTTGTGGCCATGACTAACGTGACCAAGAGGCATAGCTCAGGGGCCGTCTTCATGTTTCGCCCTGCTTATGTGGAGCTTCATGGGAAAGGTCTGGTAGATGTTCCAGATCTTCCTGGAGCCGGCATCTTCTACCACACAAGCACGAGACAATGGCATGCAGCCTGGGAGGGCGGCAACAAAGCCCCAAGCGGGCTTTGCTGATCGCGTTGGTAGCACTTTGGCAGCGGTATCTTTCCCAGAATTCAGGTGATCAAGAAGCCACCACATACTTGCAAAGATTGCAGAATGAAATGGAAGTGCCCGAAGACTAGTGAGATTCAAGATGTGTTGAGTACTGTATGTGTTCTATTGTTTGCTCAATTGTTGCGCTGCCTAACATGTCCCACTCACACACTTGATTGTTACTATACACTGTACTACTGTACACTTTCTGGACAGTCTTGGGCCAGGGTTGCACTTGGCAGGTGCTTGCTATTTGCTCGCGTGCTAACATAGCCCACCTAGCACATGAGTTTTTCAAATGATTTCAAGTGTGCTCTTTGGTTCAAGAAATCTTTGTACTGTATGTCTTGCACCAAGCAACGTACAGAGCAAGCGCCGGTCTTTCTCGCGTTGGGAGTGTCTTTCCCAGAATTCAGGTGAAGAAGAAGGTTGCTAGGTCAAAGCCTGTGCTGTAGTCCATGGTGAGCATGCAATGAGGCCGCGCTTGGAAGCTTGTTCTGAAAGGATGCCTCTGCCAGCAAAACCTTCTAACATGTCCCCTTTTGAACGGGTGGTCTGGTATTTGGTGGCTAGGGCTTCATTAACACGGCATTCGGCCTCAGCTGCATGTCTTGCTTTGCGAAGGCTGAATGAAATGGAAGTGCCCAAAGACTAGTGTGATTCAAGATGTGGGTACTGTATGTTTTCTATTCTTTGCTTATTTGTCGAGCTGACTAACCTGTCCCACGCACACACTTGTGTTGAACAATTTGGCTGTTACTATACTTTGTGGACAGTCTTGGGCCAGAGTTGCACTTGGCAGGTGCTTGCTATTGCTCTCGTGCTAACATAGCCCTCCTAGTACAGATACCTGAGTTTTCAATTGTTTTTCTTGTTCCAGAGTTCAATGCATGTTTTGCACAAAGCAACGTACAGAGCAAGCGCCCATGTTTCACCTGGGATTAAGAGAAACAAGAATGCTCAGAAAAAGAAAAACACATGCGCACACACACACGGGTGGCTGGCAAAGGACAGAGGGACGTGTTAGGAGTCTGGACGTGTTTTGGGGGTTGACTTTGATCCGGACAGACCAGGACTAACGTGTCCATGCAGGCACATCATTTCCAAGATACATACCCAACATATCCAATATCTATCTATCTCTCTCTTTACTATATTATATTGTATTCCTGAGTGCCACCTAAACAAGTCAGACTTTGGAAGCTCCAGACTCCAAGCGGCTGGGCGACCATGGTGCTGCTAACATGTCCATGTGTTCACATGTTTGCCAAGATACATCCCTATGCATCCCTATGCGAATTCAAACCTATCCAAAATCAGATTTGAAACAGATCCAAAATCTCTCTCTCTCTCTCGAAATAAATACATACAGTTTCATCACCAATATCCCTCAAAGAAGCAAGATGTTGGAAGCTCTAGACTTCAGATGGTTGGGTTTTGAAGAACAACTGTTCACATGCACCAGGAGCATGGCTATCATGGGTCCCACCCACTGCATTCATTTGGGGGTGGCCATGTTACTCTGTTTCGGCACGTGCAAAGACTCACATAGCCCTCCAAAAGGGGCATTGATTCTTCCAGAATGGCAAAATTCCTAGGTGCACGGACTAACATAGGCCTTTAAAATGGTGACGTTTTTGA